TTTATCATTAGATTCTCAGGTAGAAAATCGTAAGAAAAAGATTTCTTTGAAATCCCACCAAACAGATCAGCTTTTTTGATTGTTATTGGTTTTCTAATACGATTTATTTCGATCCGGTGCTATATTATTTTCTTCGTTTAGCAAAAATGTTATATATAAAATATATACGACTCATTTCTCGTCTCCAGTAGGCTTTCATTCGAACGGCCTGATCAAAGCTGGTCAGTAACAATTAATGTAACTAGAGGTATAATTCGCCTTTCAGCAGAGTTGATATTTTCTTTCCTCAGACAGTGAAACGCGCTATAGTTTTTGTGCAGACGAACCAACTCTTTAGCTTGGCGGTGATTTTTTTCTGTTACAAACTAATTTACTGTCAGAGACATCGCTGTTCTAACATTTACATGATTGTATGCATTTTGCACCATAAGCAGTATTTATTCACCCTCTTCGCTACCCACCCTGAACACGCCACTGGTAAGACATCATTATTTCTCATCTATTACTTTCTTTTTTCTGTGGTGCTTTAAGAGAAGTTTGGGTGCAATAGATTAGCATACAAAAATATATAAGAATATAAGTCATTCGTACCGCTTTCCTGTTGTCTGAGAGAAACTGTTATTTTGTTTTATCTCAAAACATCACCCTGCTTTCGGAAAGATCAATTAAGTATTACACACAATATTTTTAGAGTCATCGGGAGGAATATTAAAAAATACTTCTGAGCACAACAACGTTCTAAAAAGTTGCATTTTTATCTAAAATTTAATGATAAATTAAGTTCAGAAAAAAAATAAAATAAATAAAAATAAAAATAATTTTTGCATTGTTTTTCTGGGAAAATTAATTTGGTGGTTGGAGCCTATGAGTGATGTGTAGGACATCTGATAAATAAATTTTTTTTAATTGATTCTAAAAGCAATGCCACACTGGAAGTATTTATTTTTCAAGTAAAATTTATTGATTAATCTGAATAAAAAGTAGAAAGGAAAATTTGAAAATGAGCTCATTTATATAGTAGCATTTTGTATGGTTAATTATTCTTATTAGTGACCTTATACCATGTTTCCACTGTTTACTTAGTAAGTTACTTATGTTATCAACGAAATAATTTCAATTATTTTATTTAGATGTTTAGCAATTTGAATTATGTTTGTTATCAACAACTAATTATATTATTAAAGCTAACGGTTTTATTCTACGAGCACGCTTGGGATTTTTTTATAATGTCTAAAGTACTAAAAATGATGTAATGGGAATATAATGTTGGAAAAAGGAAGTTTTAGTAGTAAGAGAATTAAACTACAGGGTGTTACTTAAGTAACTTTTTATAGTTTCCATTGGCAAAAGTTACTTATTGCATGTGAAAGAGCTTTTATGTATCAGAGAGTTTTTTGAAAGCTTTAAGAGAACTTCTGTTTGTTCAGAAAAATTTCACTAATAATATTTATGTTGAAGCTATTTGAGCCAGTGCCTTTGAGCACTTTTACTCTCTATTAACTCGAGGTATCTTCAAAACCCCTCTTTACGCCTTGACTGGATTATTGTCTTGTCACTTGATCAGACTAAGCAATAATTGACCTCAAATCTGCATACCTCCCCGAGGAGCCTGTAACCATTCTATGATTCGATAACGCAGTGTTGGTAAGTCTATCAGTTTTTGTAAATAATCCTTTAAATGTTTTTTGATCGGATCCAATATATTTTTTATTAAATTTTTATTAACATGTAATTATAGTTAATATTTATAAATGAATAATTTTATTAGTGTAAACCGAGATTTGTTGAATTTTAAATTACAATAGTTTGTTTTTTTTTTGAATTATATGTAATTCACTTCCACTATTACCCTCAATTTTCATTTAATTATGTCACATAATTAAACACAAAAACAAAAACTTATATATAAAATAGATCTACAATCTACAAGTATTACATATTCAAGTAAAAAAAAGACAAAGATAAAACAAAGAATTTTTTACATTGGTCTAATTGTCCTTGCTTTAGTTTTAAGTAAGTAAAAAAGCACGGAACATTAACTCTTTGTATGGTCAACGAAATTTACTTAGTAAGTTGCACTTAATAAATGAGCAAAACCGCCTAAATGAGCCAAGTGTAAACACAACATTAGAATCTGTTTTATAACATAAGGTTCCGTTCACAATGTCTTTAACGTATCCACTGCTTTATAAATATTTTGGCAATCCAGTTTTTAATTATATTTTTAAGAAACTTTATTGTATTAATTCAATGTAATTAACTTTGGAAGTTAATCAAGAAAGCTCAACCTTTGTTCTAAATTAAAATTGCTTAAATATTAATTTACTGATTTATGGTTGATTTTTTGTACTAAATTTATTGTAGATTAGTTCAGTGAGTTGTGTAGAATGCTCTTCAATTTTGATTGATTTGTTGATCAAAGGAAATCACTTAGCATGAAGACGTTAAATGCATTCCATTCTTAACTTTAAGTCAAAGACAGATGCAGATGCACATCTAACATATCAATTGATTTGTTTGTTAGTATTTCAGTTTTATGTGTGTTTGTGTGTTTGTGTGTAATGCATAAATTTGCATATTGGAACACCATTTCAAACATTTTAACTAGCGACAGTCGCAAAAAATATGATATTTGACTAGAGGCAACAATGCAACACAATAACAAAATCGCACAAAATTCTCCTTTTTGTATTCCATAATCGTTGGCTTTGTTCGCAGTGCTGCCAGCAAACATTGACAAATATAAAGATACATAGTCAATATAAATGTAGGATATTTCAGAAAATGTATCTGTGCGTTGCAGCTTTAAATGTATGTTTTTGTTTTTTTGGTTTTCCGCTGTCCTCCCTCCATTTGAACGTTTAACTCGGTCACAGAACACAAAAATGAAATTTAAGCATATCCGTTGTCAATGGAAGAGACCACTACTGGCGATGTTTAATTGCATTCATTTGAAATCCAATTTTTTCAGACTGAATAGATTTGCGGCATTTGGAATAATTTTAAAATGTTTGGAATAAAAATTTATTCAAAATAAATACGGCGTCCAAATTGAAAAGAGTCGCATATAACAATATTCAAAATTTTTAATTGCCAGGGTAAATTCTTTTTTAATTGTGAAATGAAAATATAACAACTTTTTCAGCTTTTACTTTTCCCTATTTTAGTACAATTTATTTCATTACTTAAATAATTCTGATATAAATAATTATTAAATAAATTGTCTTAAATAGTAAATGAAAAAATTGGATCTTCGTAGTTGTTTTGTGTTGAATCCAACAATCCAACAGTCTGATAAGATCTGCGACTCGTGAGAAAAAGATGATGGTCCATATAGTTTTGCTTTCTTATAATAAAGAGCATTGTAGTGAGCACATGACCGTGCTATCTTTTATTATTTTCTATTCCTACGCCAAACTGTAAAAGTTTATGCAAAGGAATATGATATCTTATTCATTACTCTAGAACGTAAGTTTAAAAATTAAAAACATAAAATAAATCAGTATAGATAAAAACCCAATTCGAACGGTATTTAATTTATTATATATATGCTGTACGGCGGTATAGCATATACAGGCAAAAATTGACGCCCCTTCAACTACAGTGGCTCTAGTGGGTCTGTGGATCAACGCAAGCCAAACAATCATATGCACGATTAAGTCAATTCAAACTCCCATCTTCACAGTCAGTAACACCAACATTGTGACCGTTAAGAATTTCTGTTATCTTGGAAGCATAATAAATCCAAAGAGAGGCGCAACCATTGAGATATGAAGCAGAATTAACAAAGCAAAATCTACATGTACAATTCTTTGTAACATCTAGAGATCAAGCGAATTATCGCAAAAGACCAAGATCAATGTATATAACGCATATGTCAAATTAAATCTGTTGTATAGCTCTGAAACATGGCTGGTGAGCACTGAAACTAACCGCATACTGCAGCCTTTAACCAGCAGATGTCTGCGAAATATATTGAGAATTTGATGGTCCCAAATCACAAATCCAGCAAACATTAACGTGCAAATAAAACGACGAAAATACAACGAGCTTGGACACACATTAAGAAAACCTTACGAAGAGGTATGTTATGCTGCCCTACAATGGAACCCGCAAGGCAATTGAAGACCCGTCAGATCTCGGACCACTTGGAGAAGAACCATCCCACATAAAACGAACAAATCATTTGATGAACTAAGATATTTAGTATTAAATAGAAATATCTGGCGATTCTATGTAAATAGTGTATGTTCCTGATGGAATACGGCTTAAATTTATATTCACATGGTCACAAATTTCTTTTGGCGTTAATTTTAAAATCTGGCAGTAGAGGATGTGCGGTTTAAATAGGACGGTGCCACAACCCACAAATAAGGCGTAATTTCCCATTCTTGTGTCATCTTTAACGGATCATTTTATGTTTTGCTAAACGTGAAAGTGAATTGATTACTTTTCCATCAAGGCCATACAATTTGTCACCATTGGCTCCCCTTCGGTACAGCGGTTAAAATATTTCCAAAGCAAATCATGTGTGTCATAAAAAGTGACTTAAGTCCATTAAACACCACCCGATACTACTTATAGTATCACTGTTACTAAATAAGTTTTACGTGGAGTACCTGTGCTGAAGCGTAAATTTGGTGCCTTGGGAACTAGCGCTCGCAGCTTCGGGTGTCCTCCTCAATACGAGTCAGTTAATTGAAGGTAGCGTCATGGTGGTTAACGCAGGTAGAATGATTGAAATTATTTACTTTCATTCGATTTTAAATTGCATTTGTCAATCAGGTGCTTGACGCAAGCGATCTGGTTGAAGCAGCCAAACTTTTATCTTGTGATTTTTTTAGAACAAATCACTAAGCTTACCATTATTTTTTACTTAAATGACTTAACTGAAATTAAGACTTTATGATTAAATTTTTTATAATGATATTAAGGATAAGTATGCTTTGATTTTGTATATATCAGTTTCTTATAAAATAAAATTTAGCTCAATTTATTTATTTTTTATTTTTGATTTATCAGTTTTGAAAACTTGGATAAGGAAGAATTTTTGAGGGACGAAACTTTTTCTATTTGTAAGGTAAGTTGTTATTGATCTTGAAGACCAGTATATCAGTACATTAGTGACAAACCAATTAGCTGATTTGAAGAAATATAGGTGGATAATCTAGTCATTTTTTCAAGTATATCTAAATTTATGGTTTAATCCAATAATTTGGTCAAATGATTTGGCAATTTAATTACGAACCTAGTACTTGCTATATTCTGACCAAAATGATGATTATTGTATTATTTTATATAACACAATTGCGAACCAAATGATTTAAGATCTGTCAGTATACCTCATTTCTTCTAAAAATCTTCCATGGAATTCAAATCAAGTGCTTCAAAAATCAATCAAACTAGCATCTTCTGAAAGTGCTGCCAATGTAGTAATCAGAATAAACTCTATAAAAATATGTAAATCATCCTTGTTAGGATGAATTGTTAGCATTCTGAACAAAGTTCAAAATATCTCAAAAGAAGTCACTAAGCATATCATTATTTTTTACTTAAGTGATTTTATCAGAATATAAGCATTATGATTTGATTTTTCATGATAATATTAAGGAAAAGTATGCTTTGATTTTGAATATATCAGTTTCTTATAAAATAAAATTTAAATCAATTCATTTATTTTTTATTTCAGTTTTGTTAGTTTCAAATATAGAACAGGAATAATTATTTTTCAGACGAAATTCTTTGACTTATAAGGTAAGTTGCAAGTTGTACTCATTGACAAGAGTTTTGTTATTTATTTTCATTTGCAATTTTATTTAGAGGATTCCTTAGGTCTGGGATCTATATAACTTCCTTAAGTCTGGGATTTCAATTAATGTAAGCAATCAAAACTTATTTATTTCTTTTGTCATTAAATTTATGTTCTCAATTAACAAATAATTCTATATAATCAACATTTATTAAAAATATGTATTAAATTTTTCAAACTTCGCTCAATTTGTGATCATTATTTACTGTAATTCGCGGAATTTTTAAGTTCAGGAGCATTCAAAATCGTTTTCCTAGTATTGCCATCCATCCATATTAACATATCAAATATTTAGGAGTTTTCGAAATTTATTGAATTTAATTCGCAATCATATGTTTGCAAAACTCTGTTAGAGTGACTCTATCATGGAAAGAACTTTATATTCCTGGAAGCGTAATATTGTTTGCATAACGTGATATTAAGGAAACAAGTTAACAGTCCTCATATTTTCACTAATTAATAAATCAAATGAAAATGGCAAAAGTAAACATATCAACTGACAACAATTATATTAAAAGTATTCAATTAGCCAAAACAGAAAATTATAATATATAGTAAAATATAATGGATATCACTAAAAGTTATTTGCTGTGGCATTATTGTGCTTTTCTAAACCACTTTTGTTGGCATATATTAGCAGGAAGTTAATTTGTTATTTTGTTTCTTCAGATGGACTTCGGCTAAAGTTTTAAATTGATTTTAAAAGTGAAGTTACTTTCTGCAAATGACACTCATGAATATTAAATTTATTAAAAATCATATTATTTTTACTTAAATATTAACAGATATGCCATATATTTTATATTATCTTAACATAAATTCCATTACAAATTTTGGTAATCATTCTACATGAATGCTATTAACTTTTACAAACCAAATTCATTAATGTTACTTGTCATTTGTCTAATCCATTTATATTTCATTCAGAGATATATAGTAGTCAAAAATCGTCCCGGGTGTAAATTAGACTAAACTTAAAGACATTAAAGCAGTTTGACTATCTGATAGTATGTATATATATAATCCTAAGAAATGCCCACTTCCAGACATGCATAGCTTTCCAAATAGCGATTTAAGCGGCTGTAATCGCTGCAAAGATACACTGCAAAGATAAAAAAATCTATAATCTATAGATTTAATAAAACTATTTAGTATTATTCAGTTAAAATGCGATATGCTGGAGCAACAATAATGCATATACAATGCAAAGGGTCATGACCCAAAACTAGGACATTACTAACACAGTAAGAGTAAAATAGTAATCATACCCCACATCTAAATACGTAATCTAGTGTAATTTTTAGTGTGTTTGCAGATCAGTGCTCAAAATCCTCGATTAATTTCTCTTATTTGAATTTGAAGGCATCTGAAGTGTTTCTAGACATTTATGATGTACTCGTATTTGGTTAAAATAAAAGTATACAGCGTTTTAAGAAACAAAATATGATTTGTCTATTCCAAAATATAGTGAAATATGGTAGCTCTGATCTATCACAGAATATATTGCTTTTTTGCTTATCTTTGTTGTTATTTGTAAATAAGAGTAATATTCTTCTAAAATACAAGTACTTGTTTTTAGTTCTGAGTAAACGTATTGCAAACCCATTTCAAGAAAGCTCTGAACCTGTACAATGGTGTGTTCTCTGTGAATTCGAATATTATTGATTCTATACAAGGTCTCTAATTATCTAAGTGAGTAACAGAAGGTTAACAATAACATGAACTATTGTATATTAAAAAGTATTTTTAGTTATAAATATTTGTCACATTGTCGGAATGTAGTCTAAATTTATTACAAGAGAGTTCTTTTTTTTTAAATCTTTATTTATTTTCACCTAATGGAATTTAGACATACTATATGTGTTAAGAGTACTGTGTTTTTTTATTTCTTCAATTCTGTAGAAGCAGTATTTTAGTGGTGTTGTAAATAAAAATCCTACAACCTCTATGAGACTGATTGTAAACCTCTTTTAGTATATACATATATGTGACGAATAAAGTTTTTCATGTGTCATATAGACGTTGTTCTGAAAAAAATTAGTTATTAATTAATAGCATCGGGTAGAGAGAACAGCAGCAGTTGCTCTTTGTCGTGAAAGCAAATTTTGTTCATTAACATAATTTTGTTCTAACATTTTTAAATAAAAAAATTAACTACCAATATGTACCCAATTTAAAAGTTTTTGAAAAATAATAGTTTAGATGCGGATCAGATAATAGAAAAAGAAAACAAAGAAGAAAGAGAAAAGATAGAAAGCAGATAGAGAGAAAGAGACTAGTTTGAAAGAAAGGGGAAGAATTAAAGGAAGGTATGGGGAACGAGAGACAGCTGAAGTGAGAGTAAGAAAACAGAAAGAGAAAGAGAGAGAAAAAGATGAAGAAATATAGAAAAAGAGAAAGATGAAGGGAGAGAACAAAATGAGAAACAAAAAGAGAGAGTGGAAAGAGAGATAGAAAGAAAGAGAGAGCGATGTGAGAGAGAACACATGCAAAACAGAGATAAGCGAGGGACTTAAGAAGAGTAAGTAAAAGCAAAGAGGACGGTAAAAGGAGAGATAAAGAGAAAGGGATGGAGGAAGTGAAAGAAAAAGAAAGAGGGAAAGAGAGACTATAATAGAGAAAGTGGGAAAGGGAATAGATGGCTGAGAAAGAAAAAGGGGGAAAGAGGAAGAGAAAAAGAAAGAAGGCAAAGAGATGAAGAGAAAGAGGAAGTTAGTAAGAATGAGAGAAAGAGCGAGATAAGTGAGAGAAAAATAAAGACAGAAGAAAAAGGTTAGAGAGCATGAGGGAGAGAGAGAGAAAAATAAAAGTAGAGAGATATATAAATAGAAACATGAGTTGATGGAGAGAATGAAGGATTGAGAGACAGTTTTTGACTTAGTCCTGAACCGTTGCTAAAATGCTAACCAACAAATTAAACCTCTATGACTAAGAATCGGCGATCCATACCTAACTTGGATACCATTTCAACAGATCTGATGCAATATTCGGTGGGTTTTTGCTGCGCAGTTTCATTATATATTTTCAAGAGAGAGGGAGAGAGAGAGATTGAAAGAGAGAGAGAGAGAGAGAACGAGAGTAGACTATTAACAAAATTCTACACTGCTACTTAAAGCGTATTGCAGACCTGCAAAATTGGGTGTCAGTGAAGTTGCGCTCTCCTCGAATTTATTTTAGCGGTCAAACTTGGACATGACTTGTCAGTCAAGCAAAATTTTTGAATGGTAAGTGTGTTTGCGCACACTGTTGCTACGATAGGAACCACGCAAAAATATACTATTGACTGATGGAATACAAATTTTTAGTGACAGAATAGTATTCACAACATGTTGGCGATAAGCTGATTGTTGTGCTCATCAAAATTTTGGTGAGCATGACAGCATGTTAGTTAAGTCTCATTCAAAGGTGCAGACCTGCAGTTTTGTTTAGTCGTGGTATTTTTTTCTCTTGACTGACAGTCAAGTTTGTAATACTGCACCACGCTTAAGACATGCACTGTTGTATCAGTAGTTAGGAGTCTGTAAGTCACCATTCATCAAGTGTAAAATTGTTTGACTTCTTGATAAGAAATATTTGCTGATCCAAGTCAAAACTGTGGCGTCGTTGTGCTTTGGAAAGTTATTCTTTATGAATGGATGTAAATGATTACGTTTCATAACAAAATAATGTTTTTCAACGCTATGTTGTATTCAAGCCAATTTGACTATGCCAAATGACTTAACAAAATTCTGTTCTAATATTTTTTTAGTGGATTCAGTTAAACTAAATTTTTAACAAAACATTACTCTGCAAAATTGCAGTTCATTCACCCTGTACATCCTTATAATATCGGTACTGATATCATCTTAGTGTGACTTTGAAAAACTATCAAAGATTTTTCTTAGAGTACATTAACATGGATAATATGCACACAATATACAGTTTTTTATATAAAAACTTATATTTTGTGTATTTTTGTTTGAAAGAAACAAAATGGCTTTGCCTTTTTAATGGAAACATTAAACGATATTCCATTTTGATTATGTTGTGCACTTCCAACATTTCAAAATAGTGCAATCAAAAATAAAATCAGAAAGCTTCACTGCAAATAAAAATTCACTTGATAGTAACTAGAGAGAGTGCAGTTGAAATTTCTTTGGGAAAATTCAAGAAACGCCAAAAACTTGTCCTTAAAATAATTGACAATACATTAGTTTGGATGAAAATGATGCACACAGCACGAAGTGCACAACTGGTAAATAATCGCAGAAAGCACGAACCAAGCTAAATTGGAAAAAACGCTATTGCAGTGTTTCGTTGGTGAAATATATTTTAAGTATTTTTTTGCATCAACTGAAATGTGTGGCAACACCATGCTAGTACGAACAACAGCGATAGCAGTAGTCAGAGTAACATTCCTAATGGAACGATTCAACTAAAAATCATATTAAAAAGTTAAATAGCAGCGCAAACAATAACCGAACACACAACTGCACAAGTGCACAACTGCACAAGTGCAAACCTACTTAACTGCAATTTGACATTTTGGCAACAGATACAATAACGCAAATAATGCCAACAATAGCTGGCGAAATGTTCTAGTAGTAGGAATAGGAGCAACGCCACCTTCACCGAGTTTTCTGCATTTCTTGACTTTCTTGAAATGCTGATGTGGAAACCGGAATGCCTCGCAATTATCAACAAATTCTCTAGCTGCGAAATGCTTTTGAGATGTACACGAAAAGGCAGTTGTAGAAATTTTTAAATTATCAAAACAAAACATTTCACATTTCACATTTCACTCTTATGTAGATGATTACATATAGATTGCATTCAGGTTCGAGAGGAACTTCATGTGAGCTGTCAAATTTAAATGCTGAGTTGCATCTTTTTTTTCTTTTTGTACTCAGTTGCATATTATTTCTGATACACTTGAGAAAGACGTGTGTGAATATTTATACACTCGAAAGACTCCAAATACTTATCATTGAAGTATATAAATACGCACGTATGAAAAAAATTTAAACACTTCTTGAAGTACACAAATCTTTTCAATTCAAGTCACTTAAAGATATCCCATCTGCCATTCGTATCAACTTCCTTCGTATCAACCAATGTCATCAACACATGTCTTTCTCTTCCACAGACCACAGAGCACAGGCATCATACTTTGATATTCCACAAGCATATTAAAGAAATCGAAATTGAGTATTTCAAGCTCGAAACTTGTAAAGGTTGTTTGAGGACTTCAGGACTTTAAGTGCAACTCACTGACTCCATATTCAAATATTCAAATTCAAGCTTTGTTCAATATTTTCCTTAATTTTATTGCTTTCTACTCTGCAGCGATTCTGCAATTTCGTTCTCCTTCATTCAATTTTATCGCATTTAGTTTTTATGTTTGAAGCTTCTGACTTGTTCTTTAGCAATTAGCAGTGCTACACACAAAATAAAAGAGTATCTTGTTTGCTTGCAATCGGAGACCAGAAGCAATAAAATCCTCAGCTCCGTACGATTTCAATTAATATTCAGCATACGCTGTGGTGGTGTACACGTTTGGGATTATTAAGTTTAATTTGTCTGTAGCTTGTAACAACAATATCACAGAGCACCAAATTAAATCAAATCAAATAGAAGTCAAATGAGATTTGCAATAATGCACTCACAGCGAGGATTCCACAAAGAAGTAGATTTTTTATTAGAAATTTTTATTGAAAATACCTTAAATAATGTTACTCGTTTTAAAATGAAGTTAGTAAGTTAGTTGGGGTGGAGGGAGGACTGAATTCTCCTCAATTAGCTAAGAAAGCCGTTTGGAATCCACAAATCCTGATAAAATGTGTAATAAAGAGGAGATCAAGCCAGACCCAGACAGAGGCATTGATCTCCTCAGAGGCAAGAATCTGGCCAATGCTAACACTGAGATATCGAAGAGTGTGTTGAACAATATCACAGTGCACCAAATTAAATCAAATCAAATAGAAGTCAAATGAGATTTGCAATAATGCACTTAAGCGAGGACTCCACAAAGTAGTAGATTTTTTATTAGAAATTTTTATTGAAAATACCTTAAATAATGTTACTCGTTTTAAAATGAAGTTAGTAAGTTAGTTGTGGTGGAGGGCGGACTAAATCCTCCTCAATTAGCTAAGAAGGCCGTTTTGAATCCACAAATCCTCGTAAAATGTGTAATAAAGAGGAGATCCAGCCAGACGCAGACAGAGGCATTGATCTCCTCAGAGGCAAGAATCTGGCCAATGCTAACGCTAGAGATATCGAGGAGTGTGTTGAAGAAGGGGGCTCCCAGAAACTTAAGTCTAGTTCTGACCAAGACTGAACATATAAAAAAATTTGAAATTTAAATTTATTTAAACTGAAATTCATGCATAAAATAAAGTTAAATTTTGCTTCATAAATGTTCAAGAATTCCAAACACGGCAGTACGTTAAATAGAAAATTCACCATCATAAGATCAATATAATCATGGATGTATATTAAAGAAATTATTGATTTAAACCTCCATATCAACTTCGTGAGATAAAAAGAGATAAAGAATATTATCTGAGGTATGAGGTATTTGAGACGAAAGTAGTTCATTTTTAATACAGACTTGCTGACGAAAATTGCAATCAAGTTAAGTTAGTTTTTGTTAAACTTAATGAAAAAAATAAAAACATACGAAAAGAACTTTAAATTTTTAAGTTAATTTATTTTGGTTCTATATGACCACTTCTAGCATGAATTATGGCCTTCAAACGATCGATGAAGTTATCACACGCTATTCGCCAGTGGCTTTGCGGTATTTTTGCCCATTCTCGGCTTAGCGCTTGTTTCAGACAATCGTCATTTCGGTAATTTTTAGTACCAATGTTACTTTTTAAAATATCACAGACTAAGAAAGGAAGAGGACTAAGGAAGAGTTTACACGCTATGCCAGAGAGAAGTTCCTTTTCGATCACATAATTAGCAATAAGCTTGATACATGTCATATTAGAAATATGTAAACCTTCAATTTAATACAAATGTCAGACTATAGCATACCTTCACATATTTTTGTAAGTCAATATCAAACACTCAAACTAATTTTTTAATCAGTTACTCTTAGTTTCAGAAGTTTCAGACAAGAACGTGTATTCACATCCGAAGTGAGTAGCATTAAAATCGTCGTAAGTCACAAAGCCAGTTTGAGTGCAATGGACAATATATTGTTTATTTAAATAATTCTTAAGGTCAACTGTTTTGAAAATCTCAAACACCATACTTATTTTCTCCCAATCGATTTAGCATCTTTTGGATGTGCTACCAAAGTAACAAATAAAATGAACTGCATGGAAATATGTAAATCATTCTTAGAATATTCTAGAATCCTGAACAAAGTTCAACATATCTCAGAAGTCCCCAAATACACCATTAATTTGTACTTAAGTGATTTAATTAAAATTAAGGTTTTATGATTAATTTTTTATAATGATATTAAGGATAAGTATGCTTTGATTTTGTATATATCAGTTTCTTATAAAATAAAATTTAGCTCTATTTATTTTTTTTTTATTTTTGATTTATCAGTTTCGAAAACTTGGATTAGGAAGAATTTTTGAGGGACGAAACTTTTTCTATTTGTAAGGTAAGTTTTTATTGACTTCAAGATTTCAAGAAATATAGGTGGATAATCTAGTCATTTTTTATTTTTTGCATGTATATAATATCTAAATGTAGAGGTTTTTTCGAAATATATATATATAAATATATATAAATTTTATATATGTAAATATATATAAACAATGTGCGCATGAATAATAATCGTAAACCAATTGGACGAACGATCTTAAAAACAATATCGATTTGATGTAGTCGTGGGATTTTCTGTCTTACTGCCTAAGTAAAAGAACATCACACCATCCAAATTACATTATCTTGAAAAACCCAAAATTGAAAAAGAAACACTAACACCTTGTATCCTAATTTGAAAGGACCTTAAGCCTTTTCTCATTTCCGCACGTTAAAATGGAAATGCTATAGCATTAACGATTAAATTTTTTTATCCAAAACGACTGGTTAAAGCTTATATGTCGTGAATGCGGACAGGAATCAATACCAAGCAGGACACGGCCAAGCGCTTCTCATCATCACGAAATATATATAGCTATCATACTAAAAGCTGTAAATGATATACATTGTGACCGAAAAGCTTTCGGAAATTCTCATTTAAAATTCGCGCGCTGTATATTTTTCGATATTTTAAGTTTATGTAGTTTCGGCGCACTGTCCTTTAAATTACTTGCCAAAAATGGCGCGAATCTCGTTCATACAGTTCGTTTACGGCAGCTGTTGAAACCAGTTCACCTCAGTAGTGCGTTGCGAAAAAAACAATGGAAAAAAATATTGAACAAAGAGTTTGCATCAAATTTTGTTTTTCGAACGAAATTTCGTGTGCAGAATCGTTGCGAATGCTACAAAAGGCTTATGGGGAATCAGTTTTATCGAAAACTCAAGTTTATGAGTGGTACAAAGCCTTTCAGGACTGTCGTACGACCGTCGAAGACATGCCGCGTTCTGGACGACCTTCGACCTCTACCACCGACGAAAACATTGAAAAGGCAAAGGAAATCGTGTTCAAAAATCCTCATGTGAGTGTTAGAGAGATAGCACGAGAGCTAGGCATCGGTCGTGAGATGGCTCGTTTGATTTTGGTGGACAATTTGTGTATGCGACGTGTCAACGCCCGGCTTGTTCCGATTCACCTCAATTTGTTCAACATTATCAACGATTTTAAGGCCAAACATTCAATAAATACCATCGAACAGCCACCGTATTCACCTGATCTTGCACCGTGTGACTTTTTCCTGTTTCCCAACCTCAAATTACCACTCAGAGGAACGCGTTTTGAATCCATAGAAGACGTAAAACAGAATTCGCAGAGGGAACTCAAAGCCATACCGGAAAGCGCCTATAAAAAATGTTTTTATGATTGGAAGAAACGTTGGCATTTGTGTATCGCTTCTAATGGAGCATATTTTGAAGGAGATAAAATAAATATTGATGAAGATTAAGAATTTTGCGTTTTATTTAAAATTTTCCGGAAACTTTTCGGTCACAATGTATGTAACATTGAAAGTGTACTCATCTTGATAAAAGTGTACAAAGGCAAATTCCAAAAATATGAAATACTTGATGATAAATGCTAAAGAACTTTTTTCCGACCGTCAAGATATCAACTTTTTGTTTTTGTTACGTAGAAGTATTGGTAAGCCTGAAATAAATAGACTTAAAAACATCGCAAGTATTATTCTTCAAGAAATCTTAAAAATGTTATAAAAGATTTTCAAAAATCTTTCCAAAAAGTATCGTACCAGTAAAGGCTTTTAAAGACCGAAGTCTTTTGAGCCAAAAGACAATTTTTCAAGTATATCTAAATTTATCGTATACTCCAATAATTTGGTCACTTGATTTGGCAATTTAGTTACGAACCAAGTACTTGCTATATTCTGACCAAAATGATGATTATTGTATTATTTTATATAACACAATTGCGAACCAAATGATTTAAGATCTGTCAGTATACCCTATTTCTTCTAAAAATCTTCCATGGAATTTTTGAGAAGAAAATTCAAATCAATGTAGAATATTTATACTAAAGTCAAATCAACATTTAAAATGAAACGGCATTTTATAGTCTACTATATAGGGTGACAAAATTCAGTCATTCACACTGGACGGACTTTTAGCAGCATCAGAAAAAGTGATTCCAATAAAAATATCTAACAGGAAGATACACAATCCTATTCAAAAACTGTTAACTAAATGAATGATAACTGCGGGACTTGGTTCAATTGAAATAAAAAGATTTGCATGAGATGAAACTGCAATTAGAAGTTATTTATCCACTGGTATGGAATTTAATATTAAAGAAACTTCTGATCCTAATAGAAATCGAAGAGCGCTGTCTACGTCGGTTGTTTAAGTGGTGCTGCTCTAGTTAGCGGTAAGGTCTAGAGCAAGGAACAGCATGGCATTTAACTATAGGATGCTTAAGATCAAGTGCATCAAAAATCAATCAAACTAGCATCTTCTGTAAGTGCTGCCAATGTAGCAATCAGAATGAACTCTATAAAAATATATAAATCATCCTTACAAATTGTTAGCATTCTGAACAAAGTCCAAAATATCTCACTAAGAAGTCGAAATTTATATATATATTTGATTTTTCAAAATGATAGTAGGGAAAAGTATGCTTTGATTTTGAATATATCAGTTTCTTATAAAATAAAATTTTAACTCAATTCATTTATTTTTTATTTTTGTTCTTATAGGTAGTTTTAAAAAATAAGCTGAGGTTTGAAAACGAAACCTTTTCTATTTATAAGGTAAGTTGCAAGTTGTACTCATTGACAAGAGTATTGTTATTTATTTTTATTTGCAATTTTATTTAGAGGATTCCTTAGGTCTGGGATCTATATAACTTCCTTAAGTCTGGGACCTCAATTAATGTAAGCAATCAAAACTTATTTATTTCTTTTGTCATTAAATTTATGTTCTCAATTAACAAATAATTCTATATAATCAACATTTATTAAAAATATGTATTAAATTTTTCAAACTTCGCTCAATTTGTGATCATTATTTACTGTAATTCGCGGAATTTTTAAGTTCAGGAGCATTCAAAATCGTTTTCCTAGTATTGCCATCCATCCATATTAACATATCAAATATTTAGGAGTTTTCGAAATTTATTGAATTTAATTCGCAATCATATGTTTGCAAAACTCTGTTAGAGTGACTGTCATGGAAAGAACTTTATATTCTTCGAAGCGTAATATTGCTTGCATAACATGATATTAAGGAAACAAGTTAACAGTCCTCATATTTTCACTAATTAATAAATCAAATGAAAATGGCAAAAGTAAACATATCAACTGACAACAATTATATTAAAAGTATTCAATTAGCCAAAACAGAAAATTATAATATATAGTAAAATATAATGGATATCACTAAAAGTTATTTGCTGTGGCATTATTGTGCTTTTCTAAACCACTTTTGTTGGCATATATTAGCAGGAAGTTAATTTGTTATTTTGTTTCTTCAGATGGACTTCGGCTAAAGTTTTAAATTGATTTTAAAAATGAAGTTACTTTCTGCAAATGACACTCATGAATATTAAATTTATTAAAAATCATTATTTTTACTTAAATATTAACAGATATGCCATATATTTTATATTATCTTAACATAAATTCCATTACAAATTTTGGTAATCATTCTACATGAATGCTATTAACTTTTACAAACCAAATTCATTAATGTTACTTGTCATTTGTCTAATCCATTTATATTTCATTCAGAGATATATAGTAGTCAAAAATCGTCCCGGGTGTAAATTAGACTAAACTTAAAGACTTTAAAGCAGTTTGACTATCTGATAGTATGTATATATATAATCCTAAGAAATGCCCACTTCCAGACATGCATAGCTTTCCAAATAGCGATTACCGCCGCTTAGCATACACTGCAAAGATAAAAAAATCTATAATCTATAGATTTAATAAAACTATTTAGTATTATTCAGTTAAAATGTGATATGTTGGAGCAACAATAATGCATATACAATGCAAAGGGTAAGCACCCAAAACTAAGACATTACTAACACAGTAAGAGTAAAATAGTATTCACACCATACATTCAAGTGTAATTTTTAGTGTGTTTGCAGTTAAGTGCTCAAACTCCTCGATCAATATCTTCTATTTGAATTCAAAAGCATCTGAAGTGCTTCTAGACATCTATGATGTACTCGTATTTGGTTGAATTAAAAGTCTTCAGCGGTTTTTTAGTAAAAAAATGACATTTTTTCAAAAGCACATTGAAAAACAAACTAATTTAATAAATATCTATTCCAAAATGTAGTGAAGTACTTATGTTCCATTATGGAACACATTGGTTCTTTGCTCATCTTTGTTGTTATTTTTAAATAAAAGTAATATTCTTCTAAAACACAGGTACTTTTTTCAGCTCTGAGTAAAAGTTTTAAAATTTTAAACCTTTTCGACGCATTGGAAAATCATTTTAAGAAGGTCTTGATCCTGTACAATGGTGTGTTATCTGTGAATTCGGTGTTTAATGATTTTATACAAGGAGTCTTATCAAGTGAGTAACGAAAGGCTAACAGTAATATGAACTATTGTAAAATAGACTGTATTTTTAGTTATAAATATTTGATACATTCAGAATGTAGAATAGTTATTATATGTCGGTAAGTTAGGCTATTAACATAGAAATTGGTAGAACTAAGTATAGTTTATATATACTTTTCTATCTATATTATCTCCGATGCCATTTTTGCAGCGGTCAGCAACCACTGTGCCCGGGTAATACCATTGCACAAGACACTAAGGAAATGGCTTCTTAACCATGATTTGGGTACAATGGCATTATAGTGACAAAGCTCCAGTTTGGTTCGGAAACTGGAGGTTTGAGTACAATAAATAAATATACAGGCTTATAACAAGAGCGTTGATTTTTTTGAATCTATATTATCATGTATTTTACTTAATGTAATTTGATTAATAAATCAAAGTACTACTAACTCTTAAACTTATATTGCTACATTTATATATTAGTGTATATAATATATAAAGTATACATTAAAAGATATAATGTATTGGGGATCGATTCTTGGGATACTCCGCAATGAGACTAGTAGAGAAAATCAAAATAATTTACAGAAACTCCATTGTTTAAACATAAGAATGACTATAACTTTATCTTATCTTTATCATCAGAGATTTCAGCTTATTTGAGGTAGTTAGAGAAGATATCAAATTATTCACATTGAAAAAAATAAATAGTCTTGTACTATGTATTAAAGTATAATATTAATTAATCATAATTGTATTCATCGTTCAGAATATTACCATTATATCTTATTTATCCTTTCTCTATATCATAGATAATGCCTTCAGAAAGTGATACCCGTAATAGATCGGTCCCACACCGTATTACCTATAAACTGGCTGATCAAAAACCTGAAAACGAACGTGTGGTTGGTAAGAGAGCTTTGCCAAAAACAAGTGTTCCGTACAAAAAATGTAAGGTCTGCTGTGATGGTGAAAAATCTAGGGGAAATATACCGCCGAAAAATACCGCCAAGAAAAGAAAATGGAACCATGAAATGGATACTGTGCACACAGCCAAACGTAAATGTAGGGCAAAAGGCTTAGAAGATCAAACCTTATTAGAAGCAAATCGTAACTTAGACGAGACGAACAACCAAGAAATGAAACAAGAAATAAGCTTTTGTGACTGCAAGAAAGTAAAAGAAACAAAAGAAGATTTCTCCACCACCGTGAAAAATCAGAATATGGAAGAAACTGACAAAAAAAAACGTGTAAAGAAAATACCGAAGAAAATGGTGGTGAATTCTGATTATAAGACAAAGCTACGTCCTCGAGCTCCCGTTATTAATCAAAAAGACAACGGTGACGCTCAAGAATTGAAAAAGAATAAACATGAGGAAATGAAAGTGAAGTGTGAACAAGATCGGAAGAAGAAAGGTGAATTGAAGAAAAGTGTTAAGGCTAAGCATGAGAAGGCTAAGCGCGGAAGAAAAAATAAAAAAAAGCGTAAAAAGGGTAAAGGTAAAGAAAAAATTGAAGGGGAGCAGGAAAGGAAAAATGAAGAACAGAAGGAAACAACTCGTGAAGGCAAAAGTGAAACGACCACTTTATATATCATAAAATTAACAACAACTAAACGTGTCCCGTGATATTTGGATACAATGTAATTAAATTTTTTTTTGAAAACGTGGACGATTTCAATGCTAACTGCAAAAAATTTTCGAAATTGTGATGTGTGTATGTGATGATTAGTAAAACTATAAGTTTTACAGTGCTTTATTTCGAAAATTGTAATTGTGTCAATAATTAAAACTGAATTATCTTTTCAAAATTAAAATTTAATGTTTAAATATTTTTATATTTTTATGGAGAAATATCAATTAACATTAATCTGACACTTATTTATATTGTGTCACGGGCAGGGTGACTGTAAAAAACACGTATCTTAAACGAGGCTGACACCGAAGTCTTGTCTTTTGTCACTTCTTATTTTTCATTTTTCATTTTTATCGTATATCTGTTTAAATTTAATAATACCAAATTGCGAGAAATTTTCATAATGTTTTCAGTTTAGAAAAACAACACCTTATTTCATTTTTTATTTCAATCTGAATACGTCCTTTTTCTGATGTGTTGATTTCATTCTTACATAATATATATAACACGAAGATATATATATTTTATGATTGTGTGAACGTCGCGATTTAACAATTCCAATATCATGAAGAACTTTTTTAACTATGTTACCTGCTGATATAGCTTGATTCCTTATATATCGGGCTTTAAAGTATTAAATATATACAGGAAAAGTATTAACACACCAGATGGCGCGTTCACTTCATCGGATATAGGTATGCTACTTACTTCAGTAATCAACCAATTAGTTTTAATCGAATTTTGAATATCACACAATTAATAAAAATAATTTTTTTGAAAGTCCATCATTTCAGTCATTGGTGATAAAAGAATTTATAGTTTTTAGTGAGCTTAATCCTGTACTCTAATGAGTACTCGCAGTAATGAATAGCTTGATGTTATGGGAATAGTCCGCTAAGTTTAATAGTTTTAATTTTCAAGTTTTTTTATTATATACATCGACCTCTTAAATACCACGAGGCGTTTGAGAGTATTCTAAGAGTTATATTTTGATCTGTTTAAAGTTAAAACGACGTAGTAGGGCTGCTTTGCAAAATAATAAAACTAAATGGGCCATTACCACTTTCATCCATGGTATGGTTGGTATCATCACGTGGTATCGACAATATACAACCGTGTCTTCTTTAAAAAGATGTTGATATATTAGCATCGATATTGACAAACATATTTAGGATAAGTCTGGAACTATGCGTGATACCTAAACATTAGATGAAGGCTATGGTAGCTTTCATACCGAAAGCAGCAAAAAGGTGGACCATTAGCCTTATTTCTTTTCTGTTTAAGGCGATGAAGAAGATCAGATCAATATACCAGGGAAGTTTACATTAAAGCTTGACCTTATCAGTCGGGCAAATCAACTGAGACCGTTATATATAATCTAACGAGTAAAATCGAGAAGGTTTTTGTTGGTAAAAAAATAGCTCTCTGTGCATAGGTTAACATTATAGAAGCTTTTGATAACGCAACATTCAGATCAATTGAGGAATGGTCAGTAAATGAATACATAGACTGATCATAACATGGATTCTCAATATGCTGAAAACAGGACGATAATCTTTAAAATGGGGGCAAAGAGATTGACTTTCACATCAACCAAAGGATGCTCTCAAGGAGGCCTTCTATCGCCGCTCCTATGGCTATTGATATTTGACGAGCTCTAACAAACTCTTGATGACCTCGGTTATTAACTTCAGGGCTTTGTAGATGACCTGGTTATCATGGTTAGAGGCAAATTTCACTCCACCATAGGCGATCGAATGAAACTAGCTCTTGACATCACTCAAGATTGGTGTCATGAGAAAGGACTCTCGATTAATCCGAATAAAACAAAAGTAGTACCCTTCACCAAAATCTAGGAGTAATTCTCGATAAAACTTTGACTTGGAAAACCCTAAGGCCAACTTATACGTGCCAAAAATTGTATGGTAAGACATGGGGTCTGTGGCTAAAAAGTATAACTTGGTCGTACAGAACTGTATTAGTACCAATGCTTACTGGACTCACTCCATTATACATCACAGTTAAAAGGACTGTCGAACTAAGGCTTCCTTATCTAAGTAATCTTAAAGAGGGTAATCTGGCAGGATACGCAAAGATTCAAGATGAAGTCTGGAATTCTTCGTGCCTTAAGGTCTTTGACAAGATGAATAGAAAATTAGCTTTCTCCAGGGAATTCGAAGTGGTCATTAGTGACTGATCAACCTGGAGAAACAATGAAATTAACTTAAAACAGGGTTCTCAATTATGTTATACTGATGGGTCCAAAATGGAAGATGGCAGTACGGGAGCAGGAGTTATAAGACTGAAATTTGGCAAAGCAATCGCAATGGGAAAAACTGCTTCCATTTTTCAGGCAGAGGTTTATGCCTTAGAGCTATGTGCAAGAGAATACATACGTAGGGGCACCCGAGGTACCAAAATATGCATTCTGTCAGATAGCCAAGCAGCTCTAAAATCTTTAGCAAAATTCTTATTCCAATTAAAGTTGGTCTGGGAATGCTTTCAACTATTCAACACCCTAGTATCGAGGAATTATGTTACTCTCATGTGAGTACCGAGACACGAAGGGCATGAGGGCAATGAAATAGCACATTTCCTAGCAAAGAAGGGTGAATGTACTCCTTTCATTGGTCCAGAGGCCTTCTGCGGGGTAACAAATAACTTCACAAACAGCTTATAATGTGAACGGGAGAAACATCTACTTGAACACTGGAGAGCCCAAACAGGCATGCGACAGTCAAAAAGATTCATTGATCCTGATTACATCTAAGTTGATTCTATCCTTAGCCTTAGCAGAAACGATATTAAAATCTACACTGAACTTCTTACAGGAATCTGTAGACTTAATTACCACATTAAGATTACAGGTGTGGTATTAAGTGACTCCTGTCGACTCTGTCATGAGGAGAAGGAAACATCAGAATATGTTCTATGCAACTGCTCAGCGGTGGCAAGACGTAGACTCGACTACCTTAGAAGCGGGATCTTAGTCCCAAATCAAATAGGTAAAATTAAGCCCACAGCAATTACAAGATTTATAAATATTCCAAAACTGTTCTAGTTGTGCCTTTAGGCGCACAATAGATGTTTTAGGTCGGGGTGCTTTAATAGGCTATTGCTTAATAATAACTTTGATATTTGAATTTGGCTGCAATGGAATTTAAGACGTATAATTTAATATATTGTGATATGTCCGTTTGGATCATATGAGCATGTCATTTGCTAATACATTCAAATACATAAATTAATAATAAAGTAATTTTTAGTGCTTACAATTTTTATATTTCATACTATATTGTACACAACTCAACAAAAAATATGTGTCAAAAGTAAGTATTTATCATATTTGAAATGTGATGCCAATTTATTTCAACCAGAGTTAATGCTGTTCTTTTGCAGTCTTAAAAGAAAAAAATCACGGCTAATATTTATGCTTGAATAAGTCTTAATAATAATAGTTAGCAACTAATAAGTTAAAAATGTTAAACTACTTTTCAAATATAGTTTCTTCACGTACATATTTTTAAGTTACTTATTTTTCATAATTTTACATATTTCCTGAAATATTCATTAAATTTTCTAATGAAGGTTCACAATAGTTCGCTTATTGCGTTGGTAACACTTTTTTCTTTACTGGTCGATTTGTTTGGTCAGTATATCTATACCGAGGTAGAGAAAAAATCGTTGTTATTTTGTGTACATTTCGGCCAATATAAACCATAGACTTTTGGCACTTCTAAAAAATAGAAAAAAAATTATTATTATTATCATTTAATAATGTTCTCAATAATAATTGGAAATATTATTGTTAATAAAGTTCAGAAAATTGAAAACATTTATCGTGTCGTCATAGTCATGGATCCATAACCACTTTCATGGTTAAGAACCCAGGTTCTCTGTGTAATTACATTTGGATATAATTCTCCAAATGAACAAATTTTGTAAAATAAATTAGCTGTTGGCAACCATAGTTGTCATTTCTCATAAATTTAGAATCTGAATAAAATATATTAAAGTAGGCTGGTGGGTTTAAAAAATTTTAATATCCCAACACAAATTTCAAATTTTCATTTGTCCATCTTTTGTTCTAAGTGTTGTGAGATATAATTATTAATATACGTAAATTTGACGTAAGAAATTAGTTCTCAAAATTTAAAAATTAATATATTATTAAACAAAATGCTCATTGATGGCAAGAAGATCTTAAAAGCTTTGCGAGAGCTAGTAGCGCCGTCCACTCCACAGGAAATCGCGCAGCACATAGCAAAGAAGCGTAAAAGACAGCCAGATCTCAAAAAATTGGAACAGGAAGTAGTTGAGGCGCTGTCGGGAGGACGAAAATTTGGATTCGTGGAAATGTGCAATGGACATTATTATAATTTAGAAGATACAGAGCGCGAGCTAAAACTTATAGAAAATGAAGGAAATCAAAAAAGGAAGGTAAGTCATATTGTATTAGAATATAATACAACTGATTTCAAATTAATTTTCCTTACAAAGCTGCGTCAAAACCTTGTATGGACTGACTCTGATACTAGTGACAATATTATACCTTTCTTAAAAAAGCGTAAGCGCTTTTATCGTGGCCATTCTTTTAATAAGAAAAAGCCATTTTATTTGCCACCGAAGAAACGTAAACGTCGACATATTTCGACAACACTAGATCAGACAAATTTCACAGTTATTCCGCAAGCTGCTCATTCCATGCCATCAAACAGCGTAAGATGTGTTGCCTCTAATGAAAAGCAATCTATCCGCAGTGATAATGCAAAGTATGACCTTGCAATGGGTGCAGAGATGGCTAAAGCAAAAATTGACGTCATAATAGATGAAATTGCAGCAAACTATTTCCTCTTTGAAGCACCGAGTTCGGGTTTTAGCAGGGATCAGCGTACCTCCGAACTTTTAAAACAAAATGTTGAGAATCCAATTGCTTCTTCTGCTTTAAGAGAAGCTGCTACTGTTGTCAATTCTAAATTAGATGAAATTGTGGATAACATTGTGTCATGTTTTGAACAACAAAATATTGCTGCCAAAAAAAGTAAGAAATTTCTTCAATTTATATCCAGTGACTTCAGTATTTCTTCTACCAATGAAATTCTTTCTAAAATGAGTGTTCAGAACTACCTTAAGGAACACGATGGTGCTCAAAACTCTAAGCAGTTAATGAAAGATGAAGATGCAGCAATTTCAGAACTTAGTAACGCATTGCTTCAAAAAGGACAAGGCAATTTCGAAAACTCAGATAATGAAGAAGTTTTAATGGATTATATGTCATTGCCTGCAAGTGGATCGACAGGTGTGCCTGGAATGCTTCAGACGCAAAAAAGTATTCAAGTAGCTAATCCACGCCATGATCCGAAAAACACAATGAAATCTGCGACCGAACCGGAAGACATCACGTATTTTTGGCCCTTATATGACTTTTGTCCACGTTGCTGGTTTGAAAACGGCAAGTGTCAGTGTAATTTAGTGTAATTTAGTGTAATTTAGACATGCTTGTAATTGATTTAAAAACTTTTTGGACAAAACTGAAATTTATTGTATCCGTAATTAAGAAGTAATCAATTCCCAAATTTATAGCTATGCTATACTCAGTTTATTTACATTTTCTAAATTTTAATTTATATCAGGTTATATTTTAATAATGAATTTAATAAAAAATCCCAAATTATTGCATCTGCATATTTTACGGCTAAATCTTTATCTTAATTATTTTAATAGTTTTGATATTAATGCTGTTCAGAAAATATATACTTCAGTAATAATATAACTCAAATGCAGAAATGTAGATATTCATGAAACAAACTTCAAGACTTCAAAAAATCACTTGCGTATTCTTACAGATCTAATATGATCAATATATTAAATAGTCTTATTATATCAAAGAGATTCTATGACTTGTAAATTTATATCTGATAAATTAATCTATAGAAATATTGTTTATATCTGATTATACCTAGTTGCCAGTTCGTCTTCTTGGCATTTCTAATCTCGAACATATATTCAACTTCTCACTTCAGATCTAATCAAATATATCGGTAATCCGAATGGGAGATTTCTTCTGATACTTTTCAGTTAAAGATATTGTTCGATATGAAGATATTACCTCCTCCCTTATCGCGTTCACAAAGGTGGTATCATTACCCCATTTTAACAGTAGCAAATTGTTAGTATTAATAAAGCCCAGAATTGACTCAGCTCTTGTATTGGTGTCAGTACATCCATAAACTGTTTGTATCATAGCACATCACTCATTGTTGATTGTGCCTCTAGTAGAAGTCTTTGAAAGCCTCGAGCTCTTGTGTTAGTACATTTTCCACGTCTCTCGGCAGATACATGGAAGCCAGAACTATGGTTCTTCTACCTCTGGCACTGCTAATTTTTGTGATATACATTGTTTAGGTTTTAAGTAATATGTTTAGTTATTAGTTCTTTTAACAATAATTTTTTTGTACTGAAACTTTTTTAATTTTACATTTTACATCATATATTATTTGTGTTTGAGAAATATGTGAACATAAAAGTCAAGTACGGTTTTGGGTCAGTTGGTTAAGGAGCGCTGACTCTGAGCTTCAAATTTGGCAGGACATGAGTTCGATTCCTGGTACTTGCAGTCTCAAAAAATTATTCACATATAATTAAATACAAGAAATATTTCCGAAAGGACTACTGATGATGGGTATTTGGTAATATAATACACAAAAATTATATTAATTAAAGTGATATAAAAAAGAATTTCTGTTGTTGTAGTTTTACTACTTTTTGAAAACCTATTTTTTTGTGATATATTTTAGAAATATTTTTATAATTAATTATGTTTCCCTCTAATTACTTTGTCAATTTGTCGGCAGGGATTTAAAACATAAAATCGCCACTCCGCTAAACTTCATTTAAAACTATGGTTCTTCTACCTCTGGCACTGCTAATTTTTGTGATATACATTGTTTAGGTTTTAAGTAATATGTTTAGTTATTAGTTCTTTTAACAATAATTTTTTTGTACTGAAACTTTTTTAATTTTACATTTTACATCATATATTATTTGTGTTTGAGAAATATGTGAACATAAAAGTCAAGTACGGTTTTGGGTCAGTTGGTTAAGGAGCGCTGACTCTGAGCTTCAAATTTGGCAGGACATGAGTTCGATTCCTGGTACTTGCAGTCTCAAAAAATTATTCACATATAATTAAATACAAGAAATATTTCCGAAAGGACTACTGATGATGGGTATTTGGTAATATAATACACAAAAATTATATTAATTAAAGTGATATAAAAAAGAATTTCTGTTGTTGTAGTTTTACTACTTTTTGAAAACCTATTTTTTTGTGATATATTTTAGAAATATTTTTATAATTAATTATGTTTCCCTCTAATTACTTTGTCAATTTGTCGGCAGGGATTTAAAACATAAAATCGCCACTCCGCTAAACTTCATTTAATGATCTCCATAAGCAATTTAAACAAAATTATTAACATTAAGAACTTCTTTTAATTTTCCCATTTTTTCACTCAGCTGCGCTACGAAAACAGCAGTTTTCGCTATTTGCCGTCTTCCCAGGGGAAAAAATATCTCGAATACGTGCGGCGATACCAGGGACTACGAGTGCTGCAGACAAACCACGTGCGCCCCAGCGCTGGTAATGGCTGCATAAAGATAATTATTTTTAACTGGCAATTTGTGTTATTCAACTTTTTCACTTAAAATAGTGCAATAAAAAATGAATGAAGAAATGAATGAAAAATATATAAAAAAATAAATGAAAAATATATAGAAAATAAATGAAAATTAATAAAATAAATAAAGGAAATCAAAAAATAAAAAATAAAAAATAAAATACGAAAAACGAAATTAATGGAAACTGCGAAGCTATATAAATTGCAATATTTATGTAGATACATATCGAATGTATTTATTTATGAAAAACTATAAAAATTCCTGTCCGTGTTATTTTTAAAATTTTTAAAATTTTTAAAATTTCTCCATACATTTTTACAACAACGAACTGGAGTTTGAATTGCAACGAAATCGCTTTAGAGAGAGAGGGAGGCGGGGGATTGAAAATAGCAAATGTTGGCACTTGGCTGGTCAAAAAGAAAACATAAGGCATTAAAAATTAAATAAATAATATGGTAAATAAAACATAAAAAATGTATAAAAATAAAAAGTTTCAAAATTTAATAAAAATAATCATTGAAACAGAAATAATAAGAAAACAAATAACGGGTTTGAGAGAAAGCAAAACTCTACTTATCATCTCAAAAGAGCTCTATTATACAAATTGCAATACGTCATATAACAGTTGGGGAGATAAGTTTCTGGTCTAGCATGTATATAAGTACACATTTGAACACATTAATGAAATTATACTCGAACACCAGCAGTTGCAATCTTATGTCTTCTTCGTTTAAAGTCACTCAAGGTGTAAATTAAGGATGCCTGCTCAACCCGATTTTGTTCTCCCTATACTTAAATTATCTGCATGATTTTCAAACGGGGCGAGCACCTATCAACTCAACTCATATTAAAGTGCTTTGGAATGCTGATGATGTGGTTTTATTTGTGGACTTACCTGATGTATTGCAAATAATGTTGAATGATTTCATTAGGTATTGTTTACAATGAGGTCTTATCGCGAATCGATTCTCATTTCGCCTATGTAAGAATACCTATTTCTTAATCTCTCCTCCACAAGGCTTCCTCAAATACTAACTGAACTTACGATTACCAAAGCTATATATTGAGCTAAAGATTGGGAAAATATATGTTCAGACCTGGGTCTTTCAATAACCAGTATTCGGAGTATGGATCTTAAATTATTAATAATAATTAATTAATATTAATAATAATATTAGTGAGCACGATTTCTTTGTCGCGAATGCTAGGTCAGGATCTCATGACCCCGATATGACATTATGCATAATTTTTATTACGAAAACACTCAGCACATATCGAGCCTATTTTTTAAATGAGGAGGCGTTTAAGTTTAAGAACGGTAGATAGTTTAATATATCCGAATGTGATTGTTCTTTGTGTAATCGTCATGAAATAGAACTTAACATATATGTCATATTATTGGTGTATGTCTAATTTTCAGAGAACTTCTGTGCGAAGAAGAAATTAAAGCCTTGTAAAACGGTAGCAATATTTATAAACTGTACAATTTCATGAAAAGTGTTTTAAATTACAGAAGATTAATTATTGATAAATTTACATGAATAATAATGTTAATAATATGCACCACTTTTTGTATGCCAATCTGACACACAACAAATATGTTACTGTCAATTTAGATTTGAAGTAAAATTCTATAATTGTAAGTGCTGTATGAATTTTTGAATTAATAAATAATAAAAATAATAATATAAGTACACATTTCGGCTATACTTAAGTCTCTAATACACAATAGACTTTCGGTTTAGCGAAATATGTTATGTCAAGGTCCTTCGTTATTTTTAATGCATTTTTATTTTCAGGTACATTGTATCATGTTTATGCCAGCTAGTTTGATTTCCCTTGCCGCCTCAGTAGTCAGGTAAAGGGTTACGTGGGCAATCAATTCCAAATGTAGAACCTCTGATTTACAACACAGAAGCAAATCAGAGGTACCTAGATTAATATTTGTCTTTACTGGGCACTGAGCCATAGGACGGCATGAAGTTAGAATTGTCCTACCCTGCTGCATTTTCTACAATGCGTGTCTACCAGCTATCGAAGAAAGGTCACCACAACACCTGCTATGTCTATGTCCAGATTTGGCTACAACTAGTGTTAAGTTTCTGTACACTCGGCGATATCTCTAGCCTTAGCATTGGCCAGATTCTTGCTATTGTAAATGCCTCTGACTGGTTCTAGCTTAATCTTCACTTTACTACCTTTTATTACGAAAGCTTGTGGATTCCAAACGGCTTTTGTAGCTAATTGAGGAGAATTCGATCCTTCATCCACCACAAGGAATTAACTATATCATGTTTACACTGCAGCAGTTACTGTAATTAAGATTGGGTCGTTTCCAATTGATACCCAACTGAAAGGAATATTTTTGGTAAATAGAATATGATATTCCCAAACAGAAGACTTGGAGTCAGTTGAAGTGCCAACTCAAATGGAACAAGTCAAAATGTAATGTACTGTATTAGATGTATGTTTAGTTTTGTTGTGTTGTGATTTATACTTAGCATATTGTTTCCATTTTCCTATAAGTTTCTATTGAACTAAATTATATACTAAGTTTTCTACGTGGACAACTACAAAAAAAAAAAATACAAGACGAGTATATCGCTATTTTGGCACGAACGGTAAGTCACAATACTAGATTTACTTAAATCAATTCGTCATCGCTATGGCAATCAATTTAAAATGTCGGACTTCACAGTTTAACGCATAGTATTAATCCCAACAGCAATACTATACCAATACTATAGCTTAGATACTATACTATAGCTTAGAGACACCCCAAATGCATTTGTCTACCATTTTATGCCGTTAGATACCAGCTTCATATTAAGTGCCTCTGTTTGTTGCAGCCAAATATGTTCAGCTTGTTAATGCACTCCCATGCCAGCTTGGATGTCACCTGCTAGGATATGAGTGCCATTATAGCTGCCTGGCTGCCTTTCAGCATTACAATTCTACGGTTACAATTCTACTCTACGGTATCTCGTATATTTCCGCTTGAAAGATGG